CATTTTTAATCACAAGATATTACCATTTTAAAATTTGTGTTCAGGTGATGCAATACTTTTGAGCGCCACTGTATATCCATTGAGAATCTCCAAGCTATTTTTTCGGGAAATATATTCCTGTATATATTTTTTGCTGGAGCATTCATCTACTTTCGCAAACAACAGACCGGGAGAAATAGTGATCTTTCAAGATCCATCCTGGCCCTAAATAACGAACTTCAAAAAATACGCACTGAGAATGAATGGAGGAATGACGCTGTTTCACAAGGTGAGTCCCTATGTGATTGAATTTCCCAGGACTACGCTATGCATGATCTAATCCACATCTTATTCTTCCCAGCCAGCTCCAACAGATTTTCTTCGACAAGCCGTGTAAGTCAGTATTCAGAATATACTGATGAAATACAAATGTACTGGGTCGAGCCAACAGATGGGAATACGGTGTTTAAATTTGTTGAAACTTTATTGACAATACGGGTACGTGAAATGCAATTCTTATATTTCACTTGCTTAAAATTAACACATGCTTATAATTTTGCACGTCAATATATCTCTTCTGTATTACGCGCTTCCAACTAGTTCAAGTAGTAATACAGAAAATAGCTCCACAGTATCTTCTCCACCAAGATCATCATCACCACCAAAAATGAAAAAAAGAAAGTCTATAAAATTCGAAAAAAAATAATCTAATTATTATTTGTATTACTACTTCAATAAAGTGGCCCTAGTGGTCGATTATTATTACTATTATACATATGCATCTGTATTTTTTTCGTGTGGAATATGCACTGGATAATAAAAATTTATTTCGCCCATAATCACATGATTTTCTTACCTACTGTAGTAAACGAAATTTAGTCACAGGATTTAATCAGAGTTTACTGATCTACTAACAGGACCCCTTTCAGATGTGACACAATTCGTGATATTAGCACGTAAATTCTTTGAATTCCCTGAATGTGCGGAATTCTTTATTTCTCAGAATTTTTTTTTTATTATCTATAAGAAATGATTGACATACTAACGCCATCTTTTCACATATATTACTCAAAGCAACTTAACCAACTTCCTCGTTCCATCAAAATAGATATATGGAGACGCCTTACATTTCGAAAATATCCGTTATCGCTGAAACAGGCAAGTAGTATTCACCCCGAAGTGAAGATTTGTTAAATAAAGCAGTTGAAAATTATATTAAGAAAAAGGAGCATCAGAAGATGAAGCCTATTACTAGCGATTGTGAAACTTCGTTAAGGCAAGAAATTGAGGAATTGTGTGTATCAAAACAGATATTGGAAAAAAAGATTGAAGAGCTTCTCGATTTGCAAGAGCAGTATAAGTCTCGTGAGGTAGCCATGACTAGGTCTTTGGAGGAGAGTGGCGGGAAAGTCACCCAATTATCAGATTCGGTAGCTTTTTACAAAAGTATAATTTCTGATACGAAAAAAGCTATTGCATCAGCTGAAAAGTCCATTGACCTGTTAGAGAATAAATGCCAGCATCTGGAGGATATTATTTCTGCTAAAGATAGAAAAATTATCGCTCTTGTCGATCAGATTCTGAAGCATAGTGATGTGACTATAGAACCAAAAACTTATTCTAGCAATAGTGAAAGGAAATTATGGGCGAAGAGGCGTAGCGAATCTGAATATGATCTAGAAGTTCAGAAAAAATACACATTTCGGGATCTGGCAGGTAAATGATTATCCGAGGCAATTGATTGCCTGGAATAGCTAGTTAGAAGTTTTGCCCAACGATTCGATTTCCCTTTCCAAGTTGAGCGGAGTGTCCCATCGAAGTGAAAAAGATTCAGATCTCGGTTTATTTATATCGATGACCACAAATTCCTTTTGTCTCAAATAACCATCGAGGACCTTTGAAGCTTTGTGCAGATCAGCATCTGTATAAGGACTTATAATGTCAGCAAGTTTTCGTGTTGAACCTCCACCACTGAAGAGTACAATATGCGTTGCATTTTCACGAATATCTGTAGGAATCCTGTGAAATTTTTGTGAGACATAAATAGAAGAAATATTCTCGTGACAACCTCTACTAAAATATGGAATAATTTTTTTCTGTATAACTGGAGGATCCGAACATACATCCTCAAATATCATTAGTGTACTTCTTTTAGCATTGAACTTTTTTGACTTTTTTGGATCTGGAATTTTATCAGGAGTGAGTGTAGAGAATGTGATATCTTCATAGTATGGCTTGGATTTATCTTGCGCAAGATATTCATAAAAATCTTGAACGATACCGTATTTAGGCTCATCAAGGTGATGGCCACATAATATCACATCATCGCATTTAACATTGCGCTCACCTATTTTAGAACTCTTTTTTTTCCTAAACATGTAGTAAAATTTATTCATCACTAGCAAGTTTAGAATCATATTCGTTTTACCCGAATTGCTAGCCCCTGCAACTATAATTCGAAAAGGCCATAGCGGTGCGTGAGGATCACCCTGATACTTTTTCGAGGACTTGACTTCATCCACCGCGAATATTACGTATTTCATGATTCGATCTAATTAATTATTATATCGAAAAATAATGTAACAAGTTCCGGCAATAAATGTTCTGCCCAATTTTTAGATTGCTTTACCCACTTGCATCATCCAAATATCCCTTTTCGATTAATGTATGTCTAATGAACGGATAAAAATCTGCAGTATAGGGCACTTCGATAAGACATATGCCTTGCTCCTTGCATATATCCCGCTTCTTCTGATCGCGTATTCTCTGTTCATCCAAATCTATCTGGCCTCTCCTATGAAACATTGAATTAAGACTATAGTGTTGCCTGCCATGAAATTCGAATCCTAGTTGCAACTCTTCGTTATATCCATCAAGTTGCATTCCATTCAAAAATGATGGTCTACAGGATAGAAATTTCTTGCCTAGCAGATCTTCAAAAATATAACGTACATTTCTTTAGCTAGTATGACGGCAAAGAGGACACCACTCGAATTTTTTCATGATGTATTTTAATGGATATTCCCATTGGTGTGCACCATTCTCACAAAACCAAAGATATACATTATGTTCATTTATTTCTCCAGTCTTTCCTAGACATTGACCATCACGTCTTTGAGCATAACCAATAGCCTTTAATGCTTCAGGATTTGGATGGTTATAGGATGTCATAAAAATATAGTAATATATTATATAGCAGAAAAAAATATATTTACCACTCTTTCTTTCTATAAATAATGTAATATTAAACAATACTAGTTAAAATATAAGACCCAGTTCTTGAAGTCGTTGGAGGATGACTATATGTGGGTCTTCAAAATACCATACTTCGATAAGGATTATCTGGTTCTTTTCACAAAGATCTTTTTTGACCTGATCCCGTTTTTGCTGTTTGATAAAATTATTTAGATCTCCTTTATGAAAGAACTTATCATATTTTTCATGTTGTTTACCTTGGACTTCGATTGCAAATCCGTATTCATAGTAAGGAATATCGAGTTCTAGTCCTTTTGGATATTCTGATATTTTTAAGAAACCAGGTCTACGATTTTTTGATGGCGAACCTAGATATTTAGAAACAATTTCACGGCATAAATTTTCCCGTTTATATTTGGAACAAAAGGGACACCAATGATGAGTATTTAGAATGCAACTTGGGTTTGTCATCCATATATGACCTTTTTCACATTGCCATTCTAATTTTGTATGTGCATTATAGTATTTATCTGAAAGACATTTGCCATTTTTCGTTCGTGTTAGATTTTGCATATCAACTATGGTTCGATTTCGTCCATCACATGTTGGACACCAATTATTGCGATCTTTCACTTTATTTAAGTTTGCACTCCATATATGCCCTTTATCACACTTCCATTGTAAAGGATTTTTATTATCTATATAATCCAAAGAGAGACATTCACCATTTCGACTACATGCTATCTCTTTTGCGATATCAATATTATTGTGATTACATTTACGATACCAATGACCATGATTTCTAATGCTGTTAAACGATACAAGCCATTGATGATTTTTATAGCATACCCAAACTAAATTAGTTCTACTATTTACATATTCTGTAGAAAGGCACTTACCATTTCGATTATGAGCCTCTAGTTTAGCATTCTCAAGAGTAAGATATTTATATGAGAGGCGTGAACTATGTCGTCTGCAGTGTGGACACCAAGATTTTTTGTTTCTAATACGATAAAATGAGCAGACCATTGATGTCCTTTAGTACATTCCCAATCAAGAGGAATTTGACAGTTTATATATAATGTTGAAAGACATTTACCACCCTGCTCTCTTGCAAGTTCATAAGCATCAGCTAAAGTTAATTGAGTTGACATTTTTTTTAAGTATTTCTAATATACTAATTACTATTTAAAATGCTTTGAGGAGGGAGATTGGGGTCACGAGTCAAATGCATAAGTTCTTCTCGCACAAACCCGCGAGATGGTGCAAATTCTCCATTCAGATAATATAAAACTGGCTCATTCTTCACCACCATGATTTTTCGGATTTTATGAAGATTTGGCGACCATATTGGATCAGTTGCTCGCCTTTGATTCTCCATTCCTCCTTCCCATTCTGCAATAGCAAGAAGATAACGAATGCTATCACCTTTCTTTAACGTTATTTCATCTTTTCCAACTGGACGCTTATATTTTGTGAATGGTCTCGATTCTACTTTTTCTAACATAATAGCTTTTATAGGTGCAAAACCCCATTTCTTAGTCCCTGGTTCTTGAATGAGACGTGTAGAATAATTATTTAGATAATCGATAACCATAGGCAAATGTCTAACCCATGCTTTTATTAATTTCGAATTGGGATATATAG